TGATTTAAGTCAGTAAGGAGGAAACTTAAGAAGTACGTATGTTTTCGATGGGTTTAAATAGGTTAAATTAGAACAGAAATTATTCCTTTCCTTATACAGACATCATGGCAAAAGCGCCCTCGGTTGTCAAGAACAGCATGTAACATCTTGCATCATTGCACCACTCTTGCGTGCACGAGTTCAAAAGTGAATTAGTGGCATGCACAGTCATCATGTCTGTCTGATTACCATTTTACAAGTCCACTATTTGCGATGATTTTTGCCCAGAATCGTGGTCATTTCAAGAACTTATCCGAGATGGTAAGGGAGTTTCAGAATACTCTCAGTCACGACGACTACGTCATTTCAGTTGACCTGGCGACGAATCTGACTTGGCTAGAAACCTACATGGCCTCTATGGAGCACCACGACGACACCGTGTATAGGTATGCCCTCTATCTCGAGTATATCACCATGAGAGTGTGGAAGGATTCCTAAACAAAACACCAGTCAATAGCGCCAATTCAAATCAGGATTTTGTGTCCATAGTTTTCATTACGATAAAACCCTGTCACAGATGTGAAAGAACGAGCTGAAGCCCATTCATTACATTTCACTGTCATTTTGCAATAGGCTTCAGCAATTGCAGTTCGAGATGTGTCACGTGCTAGCCACGGTGCTGGAGAGAAAGCTAAGGGAGCGATACGGCATGGCTTAATGAGGTGGCCGGCATGGCACTCCGATATAGCCATTCCTCCAGGAACTTTCTCCTTTGGAGCCTTGATCCCACGACAACTTTTGACCGTTAATTGGTTAAAAGCTCTAGATCCAGTGAAATATTTCACTGGAAATTAGTATAAACCCGCGGTGATGTGTTCGATTGGAGCATTTATTATTCCAACTGCACTTGGCGATCTTACAGACAGTTTAGGAAGGACGACACTCCCGAAAAAGATATATTTCACAATATTTAACAACACAGTCTCTTTGCACCGACGCACTAACCTGAAATCTAAATATGAAACAATTAATGGGCCTAATCAAATACGATCAACAGTAAAATACGCTTATAAAGTTACCTAAAAACGCGTTTCAACCTCGTGGTCGGTTACCAAAACGTATTTAGACCTGTGCCTGCAGTGGATTAAAATACTCATGTCAAATGTAACTTACCTACGTATACAAGGTATAGCGTTATTAAAACATTTGAATATGAAAAGTTTTTCGAGTTCAAAGCTTTTTAAAGTCTTATTTTTCTTACCGCATATATGAGCTCTCGTTTATGGGATATGGAGATGCGATGGTAAATATACGAAACATCATTATAAGAGCTCTCACCGTCTTTTTACCGGAAGAAAAAACGTACTGTGAATATACCTGTCTCCATAAACATGATCAACAACTAGCCAAGTTCTGCTGGAAAAATAAAAATAAATCGCACTCAGGTCACCTTAAGGTGTTCAATTCGTAGGTCAAATGCACCAAGGGGGTTAACAGCTGCTTTTGTGACATAGCATGAATTTTTGTTTGTCCCGTACAAATAGGAGGACATCTGCAAGATAAGACTCTTCATTAGTCACCGTTAAATGATGAAGGGACTGGGAACCAGTCTATGGAAGCCCTACTTTTTTAACTGTCTACTTTATAGCGCGCCCTCAATGCGAGGTGTATTTGCGTTTCATTTTTCCGGTCAGTTTGCGTCTTTCGTTTCGAACTTTTCGAGTCGGCAGATGCAAAATGTTATACCTCCATCGGTTTGCTTGGTCAAGCACTTGTATTTGCCTGCCGGACACTTTTTATTTGCGGACTATAGGTAGTATTTGCTCTACCCCACATGCACTGTGTGTACTGCCCTCGACGGTGTGCCATTTTTCGCTAGTGGGTGAAACTGCTTGACGATGCACATTATTAATGGACCACACGTAACCCGATCGCGGCAGCTCGCGCTGAGTTGGTCGATCATCAAGATCAAGACGGAAACAGGACACTCAAACCTCGGGAAGACAGAGGGAGGAGACGCTTTTAATCGGGCCGGGTTGGCATGACCAAAGGACAAGGAAGCAGACTGGGATATTTGATTGGGGTTAGAGACGCCTCAAACTGGAATTTGGCGGATTGTGAATGGCCCGGTCACCCGGGCCTGACCGGGTTGAACAGGGAACGAGTCTGCCGGCGTTGCTGAGGCCAGCGTACAGTATGGGGCCGGTGCCGGGAAATGGAGACACCATACCGGACAACAACGGCGATCGCAGCGGTGACTACGAGCGCATGGAGAAATGGCTGGACTCTCACCCGGAGTTTGCCCACGATTATTTCGCTCGCAAGGCTACACGGAGCATGATCGACGGCTGGTACATAGCCCGGGCGGTGTCCCAAACTGCCAAGCCTCCAATGGCCGAGTCGCCACATTCACCGAGCAGCTCGTCTGGAAGCAATACTCCAGTCAGGAAGGTGTCGGCCTCCGAATTTGAAGTCCAAGGTTCTGGGGGCTCGCTGGGCAGGATGATTTCCACTGTGGATGGGGCCCCGAGTTTCCTGGGCACCAGCCACCTACATCTTCAAGGGAATTCCAGGTCCTCACCGACGCGATCACGGAAGTCCATCAGTGAGCTAAAACAGCTTGATGACCGAGCTGTGCTGATGGAATTAGTCAAGGACATTGCGAATGACCTGGACCTGAACTCCTTGTGCCACAAAATTCTTCAGAATGTCCTGATTCTGACCAAGGCAGATCGCGGGTCCCTGTTCTTGGTGTACGGCAAAGGGACAGACCACTGCTATCTAGGTTCCAAGCTGTTCGATGTGACTAGCGAGTCGACCGTAGAAGTGGCCGGGAATGAGGAAGTACGTGTGAGCTGGGGCAAAGGAATCATAGGATATGTCGCGAAGACAGGCGAACCTGTCAATATTGCCAATGCTTACGAGGTACGTATGTTAACTGGCTTAGCTGTAGGGCTGTGCCGAATATCTAAATAACCCAATATTTGATCGATTATCGAATATTTGAATGTTATTTTCCAGATTTGAATATTCGAATGCAAAATTCATGAATAGGGAAAATTTCCTTTGTTTTAAATTAGAAAAATTGCACTATGGAGGCTTGTTTCAAGCAGATTCAAAGAAAACGACAAATCTTTCAACGAATCAAAAAGTAAATTATTCATTAAACAATTTAAAAGGAATAGAAATTTACAACATGGCAAGAAGTATTGTTCATCTCTTAAATCTTGCTAAATCATGGCTGGAGATTCTCCCAGATGTGAGAAGCTGTTATAGTGATTATAATTTACAGTTGTGTGCATTATTGCAATTGATTTTGTATATGGTTTGTTCAGTACAACTGAATATTCAGATATTCAATCAAATTGAAGGTCGAATATTCGAATAGTGAATTATTCAAATCGACTCAACCTTACTTAGCTGTCGAGTTAAAGACAGCAGTCAGACCCCTTCCATTTCCCCTGTCTACAAGTACGCATAAGGCTCTATGTATTTACGGCACAATCGCACTGCGATTTTGGCCAATCTTGTGGGAAATTTTGGGCTTTACATTCCCTTTTCAAAACACCACTCTAGAATGGATCGGTCGCAAGGGTGATTTGGTGATGATGGAAAAGAAATCAAGTCAACTAATTGTTTGATCACATTCCAATATTGATTGCTTGCTTTAGTAACAATCCGGGGATCGCACAGATGGACCAACCGCTTTGCTGATCCGCCTGCCATCAGCCAATCACCTTTTCTGTCTCTCATTCATGGCCATTTTGTTTCGTTTTGTTTGACGGCATATTGCACGGTGACAGGAATCATTTCCCAATGAACCAGTCATAAGGCTTGGCTTAGAATGCATACCTGCGGGATGGCTGCAGCTATTACAAGAAGCTTTGCTGTGATTGGTTTAGTGGAGACTGGTTCCATCCAGGACACCGTAGTTTTAAATGTAGTGTGGAGGTGTGTCTGTTCCATGCAGGAGATTGAGTTCACATGGTCCTTTGGTAGGAATTCACCCCCTGCTTGCTGGTGAAGGGTGTGTCCGATTGGGGTGGATAGTTGGCCCCCTTGGTGAAAGACTGTCGGACCATCACACTTTTTGGAGTGAATCGCCAACAAGTTTAAAAGAGGGCGTGCTTAATTGTTGGGGGGATTTTAACGAGGGAAGGGGGGAATCGGTGTCTTGGTGGATCAAGAGCTCAAGGATCTCACTTTTAACCAGTCATGGATCGGGAATACATGTAGGCTGAACTCTGTTAACCTGTTTGCTCTTGAAATCTGGAGTGTGTGTTCTTTTCCCTGTGTGGATTTGAGGAGACCCTAAAGTCTGATTCATGTTTCGTGACGTGTGGCTTTTAAATGTACCAGACCCTCCGAATGAGCCTTCGAATGAGCCTCAGATGCTGAGTACCGTAGTACATGTAGACTACAAGAAGTTATGTGCCGCACCAGTATCTCAATATCCCTGAACTTCTGGGTTGCCTCTAGTCTATCAGCATATGCATGTGTAAATGTACCATACTAGGTGCATAGAGGTACATACCATGTAGTTGATGTACAACGGTACAAGTATGTATACATGTACATGTTGTGATCTGTTTGTACACGAACGTACTCCCGTACATGTGTATTTAACAAAATATGTGGTTAGGAAGCGTACTTACTGAACATGTACATGTATGTATGCAGCGTATGTGACTTGTACATGTACATGTACCGTAACATGCACTGCTGTGGAACATATTGTACCTGTTCATATTGTGTTAGCAACGTACATGTACTTTCCAACACTTTTGGGATTTGAAAGTTTCACTGACATGTAAATCAAAGAATTTCCAGGGTTCATGTACATGTACGGTACATGTTTGGCTATGTTTGCACCTAGAAGCGAACTGCAGTTTTGTTGTCATTGTTTTTATATTCAGTACACACTTGACAGTCTTGCTGTTACTCTTGAAATGAAACAAGTTCCTACAAGTTACCGGAGTTCCAATTACCTGTACACTTAGATGGGTAATTCCAGAAATTAGGGGTCCAAAAGTGTGACATTTTTGTGTCCTTGTTACATCTGATCTTTGTTATTATACATGGAAATATCACCAGAATTCATTTCCAACTATTACTATTTGTTTGGTAGGTAATTTGCATTAATTCATCACTCTTGGAAATTGGAAAATGTTTTCTAAACTTACAAAATCATGTCAGATGTGACTGGGACACAAAAAAATGGACCCCTAGTTTCTGGAATTACCCATGTATTGTACGTGTTTAAGTCGACATGTAGAAATGTGTACCGTACATGGTGGATAGCTACCAAGTTTGCCACCGGCTATCCTGAGCAGAACTTTTGCAATCATGAATGCATGTTGCACTGCATAAAAAGGCAAGTAATTGCAAAATTTGTGTTTCAATGAAACTCGGTCCATGAAGTTCAAAATTTCATATGCAGCAAGGTATGAGACGGAGAGAATCCCCCCC